CTATGCCCGAGTATAGCCAGCTCAGTACGCTGCAGTCAGCCATGCACCATGGTCATCACAGCAGCCATCATCACCACAGCCATCACCGCTATCCGACCACATCCAACCTCGAGAAATGGTACTCTAATACGGTCCAAAACAACTCCGGCGCCGGCGTTGCTGCAAATGGTCCTGGAGGGGCACCAGCACTCGCCTCGCTCGGACAGGAGGGCTACAAGCTTCTAGCTGGCCTGCTCGAATACGACCCCGTTAAGCGCCTCGATGCCGCCCAAGCTCTACAGACGCCCTTCTTTAGCACGGGAGACAAAGTCAGCGCCAACGCCTTTGAAGGCCTCAAGGCGGATTACCCCCATCGTCGTGTTAGCCAGGACGACAACGACATTCGCACCAGCAGCTTGCCAGGGACGAAAAGAAGCGCGTTACAGGATGATTCGTTATTGCGACCTGCGAAGCGTGTTAAAGAATAGTATAGACTTTGACAAACAGGGAGGGAGTCTCTTGTGTATTTCTCCTATACCATTTATTGGGGCGTCTATATGGAGCTATGGTGGGGTGTTTCTTGGAAGTTTCGAATCTGATTGCTGCCGGATGAACCCTCCCCCTTTGGATTTGTATCAACAAGGAGTTTTTTCTTTTTCTCTTTCTTTCTTTTTCCAACAGCATTGATGGGAATGCATAGAGCGCTAGGAAGGGGCGGTTTTTTGGGACTGGAGTTTGAGTTGATTAGGAATCGGCGTTTATATTCCCTCTTTCTTTCTTTCTTTTTGTGTCCTGTTATAGCGATGTGGGATACGGAGTATTTTCCGGCGTTTTTGATGATTCTTATGGGAACGTTATTTCTGGGATGGGAATTAGTTGAACAGCGAATGGTAGTTTTATGACATTGGGCTATCAATACCAGTCGTGAGGCGTTTTATCGAGAGCTATATTCGGTGCGATGAGCTTAGTCTCGACCATCAAAAACATTTCACGACGCAAGGCAAATTGTTGTCTGGGGTATATAATATCATGATCCGGCACCAAGACATGATCAACTCACATCCGATATGGTGTAGTGGCTAACATCGCTCGCTCTCATTACTCGAGTGCCGAGCAGCCCGGGGTTCGATTCCCCGTATCGGAGAAAGATTTTCTTTTTTTTTTGCCTCCTTCACTGATACTCAAACGATTATTACTCTAAACCTCGTGCTCCCCTTTTTTCTTCTCGTTTTGAAAGACAAGCGGACAAGTATCATAGAATTGATGGTCAAGAACTCTGCTGAATAGAAAGTGTGCGGGTCCACGCCCGTTCGTCATATTAAAAGATATATACTCCTCCACAAAATCCCCCTTCACTAGTACACAAAGGTTCGAAATACAAGTCAAACCCAAGTCTGTTGAAGCACGAAGGAGACATTTCATTCATTAGGGGTTCAATACTCAAGTATAAAACAAAAAAATGGCGACACAAGCAAATAGCTTACAGTTACAGTTCTCCCTCCTTCAAGCATTTCTCTCTCCTCTCTCCCTTTCTCTCTTCTGTCCCATGAACCTCTGCTTCCGCTTCTTCGTTCCATCTCCTCCAAATGGGGGTTTAAAAAAAGAGCACGACAAATCAGTTTCTGCCTCCGTCCATCAAAGCAAAAAGAAGCTCGCCTCCTTATCAATCATCTTTTTTGGCATTCATGCAACAAAAAAAACCACAACAGCCCGGGTATTCTTTTCGACGGAGAATAAAACATGAGTAAAGGGAAAAAAGTTTGGGCGCTCAAGAGAAGTAAAGTAAAAAAAAATCAAAGGCTGGAGGGTTTTCTTCTTCTTTAATCAAGGCACAAAGGGACTCTCCTTCGCTGCGGCGGGTGATGTTACACGTTTTTCGTTCTTTTTTAGTTTGTTTGGTCGACCTCTTCCCTTCCCATCCCTGTAGTCTCTCCTTTTTCGCAACTCTTCACATGACGGCGCTGCATCTATACTCTCCCCTGTCGACTTGAGCCCCCCTTCTCTTCATATCGCTCCTGAGACGACAACTGTATATAAACGTGGGAAGCCCCCGTTTTCTAGAAGAGGAGGCAGAGATCGGAAAACGTAATAGGAGCTGTACTAAGATCCAGCAAAAATTAAGGCAGCCGGGGGGATATATGCCCGGCGGATGTATGTGGTTCGACAAAATTAACCATCAAATATCAGGTTGGTATCACAACAGAAAACATGGGTCGCTTTATTTCTTGACGGGGGTCGGGGGAGCCTTGACGTTATTCGAGAGCCAGGCCAAGCCCTCCAATAACCCTTCACCGGTGGTGGCGCAGCTGGGCACCACGTACCAGATCTTGTCCTTGAGCTTGGAGAGTTGGAGGGCGTCGGTAACTTCTTGGGGTTTCATGGCTGGCAGAAACTATTAGTATGGATCATCAGCTTTGCAGAGGAGGGGAGTTGCCGTACCATCCTTGATATCCTGCTTGTTGGCAAAGACAAGCAGCAGACTGTCCTTCATTTCGCGGTCGTTGATGATGCGGTGGAGTTCTTGTCGAGCCTCTTCGATTCGAGCGCGGTCGGACGAGTCAATGACGAAGATTAAGCCTTGTGTGCCTAGAAAAGAGAGCATGATTAGCATCAATCGCCAAACGAACATCATGTCACAAACGCGTTCCATTGCGACTAAGAGTATGAAGCATGCTGGGTATCAAAGGTGGGTGCAACTTACCACTGAAGTAATGTCTCCACAGAGGACGGATCTTGTCTTGGCCACCAACGTCCCACACATTGAACTTGACATTCTTGTAGGTGACGGTCTCCACGTTGAAGCCAACAGTGGGAATGGTAGTGACATCCTGACCCAACTTTAGCTTGTAGAGAATCGTCGTCTTTCCAGCAGCGTCGAGACCCAGCATGAGCAGGCGCATTTCCTTGGATCCGAAGATCTTGCCCATCATCTTGGACAGTTGACCACCCATTGTTGCGGTGTTCTTTTTTTGTTTCTTTCTTCCTTTCTTTCCTATCAAGCTTCGCTTCCACACAAAAAAACTCTCGTTCCTTATTGTTCGATACGCCCGCTTATGGTGGACTCTGTTTATTCCTTAATCGTGGAGGCGGGGAGGCGCAGTAAAGGGAGGCAAGCAAGGCGGAAGGCTGGTTGTCGCGCAGAGCGTCTTTAAAAGTCTCAATGACGGAAGGGAAAGACAGAGAAGAAGAAGCAGAAGAAAAAGAGGGGCTCCTCGAACGCGAGGGAGGCCAAAGAGAACAGACGTGTGGAGAAGAAAAGAAAAGAAAAGAAGAAGTGGTCGTCGTCAAGTTTCGTCAGGAGGTGGTGGGAATTCGTCTTGGATTCAGATTCAGAAAAAAGCTGCGTGTTCTATTGGCGCAAAGGAGCGAAAGAAATGGCTGGGTCAGCACTTGCGCTTCTGTCTGTCTGCACGTGTGTTTTGCTGGTTTGGTTTCCCCCAATTGGGTGAAACAATCAATGCAAGGGAGAGAGAGAAAGAGAAAAAGAAAGATAGTGTGTGTATGTGTGTGTGGCAGACTGAGGGTGAGTGAGGGAGGGATGAGGAAAAAGAAATGATGAATTGGGCTCTGATGTAGTGGTGGTGGTAGTGGTAGTGGTAGTAGTAGTAGTAATAGTAGTCAAACTCACCGTATATGTTGTCTTGTTTCCTTTTTTCCAGGGACGGGTTGGCGTTTCCTTTTCGACTTTTTATTTTATTTTTACTATATTTCTTTTTTTGCGCGTCTAATTGAGCTAAGAAGATTATGATGCTACACCGTTGAGTTGAAAGGAAGGCGAAGAAGGAGAGAAAAGAAAAAAAGGAAGACGAAAGAAGAAGAAAAAAGGATGGAGATGGAGATGGAGGAGATGGAGGATGATGATGATGGTAGTGGTGGTGATGGTGGTGATGATTATGCGAAAGGTGACGGAGGAGACGCGTTGATTCAATGCAAGTCTTATGTGTGTGTCCTCCTTCTCCAGGTTTCGTGTTGCGCCAAAGAAAAGAAAATAAGATGGAGAGGGAGGTTGAACTTGCTGCAGCAAACTCCCCAGCCCAGCCCACAGCAGTCCACAGCAGCCAGTCAGTCAGTCCGTCAGTCAGTCCACAACAGCCCAGTGGCAGCCAGGGACACACCAATCGGATGACAGGGCGCAGGGATCAATCTCATCCATGCTGTATTGTAATGGGCAAGTAGGCGTAGGTACCTGTATGAAAGCGCCAGATAAGGAGGCCCGACCCTCAAACGGTACCTGAATTCTACTTGTACATACAGGCAGATCATAGTGGCTTTAGTGGGTGCTGGGGGTTTGCCTACAGGACGGGTGTGCCCCGTAATTGCATGCACCTGTACTCCGTACTTCCAAGCTTGTGCATACAAGTAGAATCCAATCTTGGTCCAATAAACAGCCGGGCTGCCAATAGTGCCCAGGCTCAACCGTCAAATTTTCAGGGGTTCCATTTTGCTTGGTGCCAATCTCCGGTGCCACTCTTCGCACTGCAGGGGGCCTGTGGAAAAGCCACTGTGGATTCCAGCACTCTCCATGGGCCCTGAGTCGGGCTGTTGACAGTGCATCATCATCATCATCATCATCATGGATCCCACTGAAGGGAGACAGAGCTTGGAGAGCTTATAGCACCCGACGCCACAGTGGAGGGTTCACTGGCCCGCCCGCGGCGATCATTTCAGGCTAAAACAACTTGAAACCACGTTGAAGCCGTTTTCTCTCAATATTCACTCTCTCTCATTCTCTGGCAAAAGATGACAGGTTTCTAGAAAGAGTGGGATTTGTTTGTTTGTTTGTTACTTTTAATTAGTTTGACTATATGCTTGTTTGTTGGATTTTCCTTTTCAACCAAAAAGAAAACAGTAAAAGTAAAAAAAGAAAGAAAAAAGACGTAATCAGTAATCAGTAATCCGTAAAAAGAGGTGTTTCACATGATCCTGCACATTTCGTCCCGCTATCAATCAGTCAATCAATCAATCAACCCATCTTCATCCCCCATCTTAACCACCTCGGACCTCATTCACAAAACCACAGAGCCCGCTTGGCTAAGCGGTATAGCGTGTCACTAGTAAACCAAAAATACCTGACATGACAAGGTGATCAGTTCGACTCTGATAGTGGGCAATGTTCTTGTTTTCTTTTTGCTCCCGCCTTTATGATGCGGGAGTACATACAGTCTAGAAGTAGATATCTTCATAACATCCAATCTAACCAATTGCATAAAGCTGCTGCCTATACACAAGTTCAGATCTGGAATAGTTCCTTTTCGTAAATGTACAAGTACAAGCGGAAATGCGCGGCCTCCTGACTGTTTATACAGGGCCCATTCATTGATCCTCGCCTAATAGCTTCCAATACAGCTAGATTCCCAATCACCTTCCACCTTTATCCATGATAAAGCCATCAGCATACAAAATTCCGGGGGGGGATCATAGTTATCCCCGACTTTTTAATATCCATCTCTCTTCTTGACTGGTGGAAACAGTGTTGGACATCGTTCAACTGCTCATTATGAGTCTGTGCTATAGCCTCCCCCTAAAAACTTCGTGATGCTTTAACACCTTCCCAATCAGGCCACTTTCAAGGAACCACCCACGTAGTAGTGCCGAATAAAACGGCGTAACACAAAAAGCAGCCCATGCTCTTGCCGATCCAATGTGATGGTCGTTTGGCCTAGAAGCTTGAAAGGAAGCTTGAAAATGGTGCTAGAAGACTAATCAGATCTGACGACAGAATGCTGGTGAAAGTTTAACAACGGAACTACTACTTGCAAGTATCTTGCGCGGCCCAAGGTAAGATCTTGTTTCACTCTTTATGTCATAGTGCAGGGACAGTAAAAAAAAAAGACTTATACGTATATATATGAGGCCCCATCAACGAGCCGCTCTCTTGCCCACAATCAAACATTCTTACTCTCTCTCTCTCCATCTAATCTTCCGTCCCGTCTCCTTCTGTGGACGAAACCATCCTCAGCCAACATGAGATTCCCCTTCGCCCCCCTAACCATCGCCTCTCTCGGCGCGCGCTCTGTTCTCGCGGCCCCCTCACAGACTCCTCCGCTGCGTCGACGGCCCGCATCCTCTTCTCCAGCAACAGCCACATCTACCTCGCCAACTACGACGGCAGCCGCTTCACCACCACCCTCAACGCCTCCGTCCCCAACACAGACCACTCGTGGATGATCTTTGAGGAGCCCAACCTGCTCTACGCGCTCAACGACATTGGCACAAACGTCTTCCTCTACCACCTCGATGTGGACGGCAACAAGGTGACAAAGGTCACCGACAAGCAGGGCAGCGGCGGCGTCGTCCATCTCGAGGCCAACAAGGCCAGGACCCGCATGCTGGGCGCCGGCTACGGCTCCGGCAAGATCGACGCCTGGAACATTGAGAACGGCGACCTCAAGTTCATAAAGTCCATCAGGTCCACCGGCCAGCTCGGTCCCAACGGGGATAGGCAGGACGCTCCCCACCCCCACCAGTCCGTCAACGACCCCACGGGTCGGTACTTCACCGTCAACGACCTCGGCACGGACAGCATCCTCCTCATCGACTCCCAAAACGACGCCTTCAACATCGTTAACACGGTCAAGGTCCAACCTGCTGGCGCCGGCCCCCGCCATGGCATATTCTACCCTCAGGGGGTCGACAAGGCCACCCACTACTTCCTCCTCTGTGAGATGGGCAACCTCATCAACGTCTACTCCGTGCAGTACGACCAGTCCGGCAAGGGCATCACCTTCACCCCCCAGCAGACCATCTCCAGCTACGGCTCCGCGCCGGTACCCCAGGGTGCTACCGCAGGTGAAATCGTCATCTCTCCCGATAACAAGGACGTCTATGTCTCCGACCGCCTGACGGGAAAGACTAGCGACCTCATCGCCCATCTCAAGATCCACGATGACGGCGCTGGAAAGGTCAACCTGGAGTTTGTCAACACTGTCCCTTCAGGAGGAGTCTCACCTCGTATGTTCAGTGTCAGCACCGATGGCGGCCATCTCTTTGTTGCCAACGAAAACGGTGCCAACAAGGTAGCCGCCATTGTTCGAGGACCGGATGGTGCTATTGATGCCAGCTTCCATGGCACGATTGCCGGAGGTGCATTTGGCCAAGGTCCTCAGTACATTAAGCAGATCCGATAAACCATCCGTACCCTGCGACATATATATATCATTGTAAATAGCCTATCCTATATATAGATGTAAACATCACGTTTGGAGCGTCCTGAACACAAGCCAGAACTTGGTCGAGATCCCATTACCATCACAAGCATCACCATAGTCTAGAGTTAATCTTCTGTCATTCCAATAGCGCTAATAGGGTGGTAGCATACATTGAAGAACCAAGTTCTTCACATTCGTAATCGTTCTTTAAAACATGTACCGCCAACGCCACCAAGTGGTTGCCAACCTTGAATTCAAGATCCAAAAGAGCATACCGTGTCTCGCTACCTAATCCTGGAACGCCGTAGCCAATTCTTCAAGTAAGAGACCAAAAAGAAGAAAAAGAAGAAGAAGAAAAAATAGACGTCTAATCGTTAAGCGCCCTCCCCGGCAGTCATGGCCGGTACTCAATCACAAATCTCCTCTCCACCTGCTGCAGGGTCGTGGAGTCATTCTCCCCCTCAAACTTCAAATCGACCTTTCCGTCTGACGCCATGCTATGGACCTCGGCCTTATAAAACGTGGTCGTATTTGGATATAGCGCGAGCACGACCTGACCGGCTTCGTAATCTTTGAGCGTGCTCGCCTGGCTTTCCGGGGTGATGGGTATCATGCTGCTGGCGCTTGTCCGGTACTCCTTTTGCTTGCTCTGGTCGTCGGGCTCAATGTCTAGTACCTTGTACCGTCGGCTTTTGCCCTCCCCAAGGACCTGCGCTACTTCTCCTAGTATCCAATCCGATGCCTGATCGCCATTGGCCGCCTTTGGTTTGAACGCCACGGGGTCTCCCTTGGAAAAGATTACTTTGGACCTGTTGTTGGCCGAACTGCCACTTGCTGATCCTTGAGGCTCGACACTGTCCGCCTTTGGTGGCATGCTATCTCTATCGCGATTGCTGCTGCGGTCGCCGTGCTTTCTCGAAGAACCCCCCATGGGGCTTGGTACAGGCGAGTCTCCGGTAGCGTCGAAATCGTACAAGGAGGACGTCGGAGCGCTGTCCCTCGTCCCGCCGGTTCTCTTGCTGTGGCCTGTGGCCGCATCAGCCTGCTCCTTGGCTACTACGACGGCCCGAAGGATTTTGAGCTGTTCCATGACGCCTTTTAGGCTGGAGACATTTGCCTCGGAATGCTTAACGCCGTTTCGGCAGAGCTGCTCCATCTGCTTGAGCGAATCTGTGGGAACTTGATCGGCGTCCATTTTGCCGGCCTCCTTATCCATGTCGACGAGCTTGGTCAGGTTGTCATTCTCGGCGTTGATTCCCGTGATGATATCCGTCATCTGAGCCTTGCATGAATCCCAAAGGGGGACTTCTTCGCCATGGGCGTTGCCATTGTTGCGGTTTGAGCCGCGGCCACTGCGGTTGCGTTGCGACATGTTGGCCCTCTGGGCCTCGTAGTATGGTCCAAGGTCCTCTTTGAGGTTGTCGAGTTCGTTTGCGCGCTGCTTTTTTCGGTTAGCCATCGCCGACGTTGCACGGCCCTGGAGCCGTTGTTTGTATGTTTATGTATTTTGTTTTTGTTTTGTTTGTGTGAATGTATGGTATGGTATGGTATGGTGTGTGGTGTGGTGTGGTATGGTAGATATGGTATGTAATGTTTTTTTTCTCTTTCGCCCGCCCGCCCGTCCGTATATCAAAGATATGTAGAATATATTGATCACGACGCAACAATAGAAGGGAAAGGACGGCCAAGTGAGCACGCAAGGAAGGGAAGAGAGAGCCAACTTGATATTAACGCCACCAACGAGCAAAACTGGGGGAGGGACGATATTGAACACTTACTAGATGGATGTGAAGCGATGAAGACGGAGCCCTCGAGCGCAAGCAAAATGGTATAGACGCTGTGGAGATGCGCTATAGGCGATATGCTACGTAGGTAAGGTATGGTATGGTATATAGTATGGATAGGAATGCTGAGTGGTTTTGTTTCTCTCCACAGGGTCTGTCTCGGTGAGGATCGATCGCGACGCGTCAGACTGACTGGATGACTGTTTACGACTTTGCGCCCGAGAGAATCTAGTGATGATGGAGGTTCGGAAGAGAGAGTTGAGGGGAGCCTTGGCTAAGTTTTCGAACCCATTTTTATATGCGACAGGGTAAACAAGAGGCTGAGCGGATGGCGGAAAGCCACTTTGGTCGTCGAGGTCGTCGGAGTTGTGTTGGGATGAAGTCTAAAGTTGACGGGAAGGTTACAGAAGGCTGGAGGGGCAGTATGACGCTGTATTGGGATGGAGAAGCGCAGGAGCTGGGGCCTGGGGTCTTCGGCCAATTGATGGCCCGTAACAGCTCTGGAGCCCTGGAGCCCTGGAGCCCAAGGAACTTCCATAGCAGTGAACCAAAAACTTACTACCCAAGTCGAAGCATCATCACTGAATCTATTATTCTTCTAACTTTTCTAATTTTATTTTATTTTATCTAGATGATATCTAAATATTCAATTAACGTCATCATTCCCGATGCGCCCAATATGGGTGTATTTGAAGCATGGAGAAATACCTCCAGCTGCCATTCAATAGATACCCTATCACGCAGCAAAGCATCACCGGATCAGAGCCTACCTATCTGAGGCTATTCCATGATGCCAATGCTGGCGATAAAGAACCTTATCAGTAAAGCATGCGGAGGGTAAGAGAAATTGAGAGAATTAAGAGATATGAGGCCCTATATCTATTTGTTTGTTTGTTTGCCATGTTGGGGTACTAAGGAATTTCCCCCTCTTGCCTATACTCCCGTTTCTGCTTCGCCAGCGGCGCGTTCAGACTCCAAGTTCCATTATACTGCATGTTTTATGACGTCTTTCTTTCTACACTTACGATGGATATATACTCAAGATAATTTATCATGCCACTCAGGCTGTATCTAGCAACTTGATGAATTATATCGTATCGTAGAGATCCTAGTGCAGCAGCCTCAAGCAATAGGTGAACAAATCTCGAAATAGCATCTTTTCGTTGAAGTTCCATCTG